TTACAGAAAATGTTATAGGAAACATTAAATTGCCATTGCATAACCTTTAAAGTTAAATTCAGACAGGAAACTCAGCTGTATGAAGAGCTAAATCTTTTTTTTTTTTTTTTAAAGATTTTATTTGACAGAGAGACACAGCGAGAGAGGGAACACAAGCAGGCAGAGTGGGAGAGGGAGAAGCAGGCTTCCCGCGGAGCAGGGTGCCCAATGCGGGGCTCGATCCCAGGACCCTGGGATCATGACCTGAGCCGAAGGCAGACGCTTAACGACTGAGCCACCCAGGCGCCCCAAGAGCTAAATCTTTTTAGAAAAAGTGTTGTGAAACTCATCAACTGTAAAGGTACGATAATTTATACTTCAAGATAATTTATCAGAAATATGTCCCAGTGTTGTCACAGTCTATAAAATACTCTTAACAACTCCAGTAATGGTTGCATCAATGGAAAGTCTTCTCAAAATTAAAAATTATAAAAAATCAGTTGCAATCTTGGATTTGCCAAGAGCTACTCACTTTGCTTTCAATTATATCAATTTGATAATAAAGTTACTAAAAGTATAAATTTTGAAGACATAATAAATTTGCATAAAGACAAGCCAAAAGTATCTGCTCAATCAAGACATCAAAATCATATAGTATTTTATCCATTATTTTATATAAATTATGACACCAAAATAATATTTTTTTACAATTTAAAAATTTACATTCTTATATATCATTATTACCTCTATTATATTTTATAAGTAACAAAATATTTTTAAGGTAAAATCTTTATATTTTAGTATCCTTAGTAGTCCTTTCTTTTAAATTTTTGAACAAGGGTCCCCATATATTCATTTTGCAGTGGGCCCTAACATAAAACAATATGTTACACACACTCCTATTTACTCAATAATTTTTTGGTTTTATGATTAGAATTTTTTCATTTGTAGGGCACATACAATTTGCTTTGATATTCTTTCAGTTAGTTTATATGTTGATGCATTTTATAAAATTGTGTACCTTTAAGAAAATTTTGATATTTAACATGATGCTCAAAGTGCAGTGCAGTTATATGTCACCTGTACATGAAAGATCACAAATAGTGATTTGTATTATTTGAAGGAAAAGTAACAGGAGTACCAACCACCACCCTAGTTTTGATCGCACAGCTCCAGATACTCTGGGCTCACTGCTATCTGGAAATGTCCCAAAAGCTTAGAACAATGTCTGTCAGAGAGTAGGTATCCAGTAAATATTTGCTGAATAATTGAATAAAAAATTTCTTGATTCTGTGCATGGGAAAATAAAGGTTTAAGTAACTGCATCTCTTCAGCTTAGTAGGTGTTACTTAATATATATATATTAAATATATATTTATGGAGTAGGCACATATGCTGTTTAGATTTTGAGTGTTGAGTAAATAGGATGTTATTTAATATACATTTTGTAGGGATAGAGAACATATGACCTAGGATTGCCTTTTAGCCGAAAATGTGGTTGTTGGAGGAAGGGTAGGCCTGTGAGCTTAAAGATGACAATGTAAGAGTCAGGATCAGCTGAGATTGGGAGAAAGGAGGTAAATTCTATGATAAGCTAGTAGCAATTGGGTAAGGACTAAATCACCCAGTAATAATGACAGGTTACTTCATACGTATGATGACTTCGTGTTCATGGTACCTACACCCCTTATGGACCAGAAAGGTCCATGAATTAGACCTGCTATTTCTGGCCTGAGCACGGTGGCTCTGTGACATTGGCAGCAATATTTTTTTGGCATCTGATTCAAGAGACAGAGTCTGTAGAGAAAAGTCCAGATACGTTCTTAAGTTGCCATTGCCATAATTAAGACCGTGGGCTGAATGCTTTGAAAAAGAAAGAAACATCAAAGCTCTCAAAATCTTCACTTAAACCCTGTGGCTTAAGGTTAAAGACTGGCAGGAAAAATTTAAGTAACAGTATAAGTTACCAATTTGACAACTCTTTCTTCTACATTTGAGTTAATTTTCTGGATATGTGTTGCTTCTTATTATTTTTAAAATATTTACATAGGATAGAAATTCAAAATTCATTTATCTAAAATGCTTACAAACTCACTGTAATTATGTGTAGTATATACAGATGATTCGTTCTAATTGAATTATTCTCTTTATCCCAAATATTTTTTTCTAATGCTGAATCCCCTCAGATTTTAAATTCAAAATCTGAACAATATCACAAGATATTTGATGCATATGTTAGATCCCTATGGAAAATTAAGCCAAGTATCATGGGCTCTATGATAAAATATCTAGTTTATAAACAAGAACCAAATTAATCATAATATGGAGTAATTTTTGTTTACTAGTTATTGTGAAGTTGAGATTATCATTTAGACATAGTCCCCAAAGTTTTGTGTTCATTATAATTACTAGGTTTACTCTAGTCTAGCTGAATATTTGGAGCTGTGTAAACATGGATTTAAAACCCAAAAATGGGGGCACCTGGATGGCCCAGTGGGTTGAGCCTCTGACTCTTGGTTTTGGCTCAGGTCGTGATCTCAGGGTCTTGAGATGGAACCGGCTTAGGCTCTGCACCCCACCTCAGGCTCTGAGCTCAGTGAGGAGGCTGCTTAGGACTGTCTCTCCCTCCCCCTCTACCCCTTCCCCGCCACGCTCATGCTCAAACATGCAATCTCTGTCTAAAAAAAGAAAAGATAAATCTTTTTTTTTTTTTTAAGATTTTATTTACTTATTTGAGACAGAGAGAATGAGAGAGACAGAGAGCACATGAGAGGGGGGAAGGTCAGAGGGAGGAGCAGACTCCCTGCCGAGCAGGGAGCCCGATGCGGGACTTGATCCCGGGACTCCAGGATCATGACCTGAGCCGAAGGCAGTCGCTTAACCAACTGAGCCACCCAGGCGCCCCAGAAAAGATAAATCTTAAAAAAGAATGTTTTCTAAGCTCTAGCTACTGGAAAAGAAGCTTGACATATGGTAATGTGGAGATGTTTTCTGGAAATATCAAGTTGATACTCTTTCCAGTTATACTGGATTCAACAAGTACCAAGAGTTTTGACTCCCAACTTTCCCAGGCTCCGCTTAGAACACCACACAGACACTGAGAATAGTAGGCACATATGCTGTTCAGATTTTGAGTGTTGAGTAAACAGGATTTCCTGAAATGAACGAAGAGAAAAAGAAGGCTCATAATTACTTGATGGTTTTGGCCCAATCTAACTGGAGTGATGGAATTGCTATTCATAGAGTCTGGGTAACTGTTGGTGAAACAGAGGGAAAATAATAGTTCCATATATGTTTATCTTTTTATCAATATGTAAGAGCCCCTTAATGGTAGAGAAATATTGATATAAGTTGCAATTTTTATTGTTTTATGGGTTATTTTTACTAACCCATAACTATAATTAGCATTGCTAATTATACATTTTTGATAATTGATTGTATTTTATTGTGGGTACATTTTTCATTAGACTTTTAAATGCCTTTCTCACACAAAGATTTTTAAATAACTCTTACCTTCTTTTTTTTTTTTTAAGGTTTTATTTATTTATTTGACAGAGAGAGAGACACAGCAAGAGAGGGAACACAAGCAGGGGGAGTGGGAGAGGGAGAAGCAGGCCTCCCGAGGAGCAGGGAGCCCAACGCGGGGCCCAACCCCAGGACCCTGGGATCATGACCTGAGCCGAAGGCAGATGCTTAATGACCGAGCCACCCAGGCACCCCAAATAACTCTTATGTTCTTTAGTACATTTTGATTTAATCTTAACACTTAAATCTTTGATCTATTTGAAGTTATTCTACAGTAAAGTATGTAATAGAAGTGAAATTTATTTTCCCCCATAGGGCTATCAAGTAGTCTCAAGTTTCAAGTCTAATTATTGAATATTTCATCTTTTTTAGGCTAATACTAATCACCAACTTTATAACATATAAAATTTATGGATATGATTGAGCTTATTGTTTTGTTCTTTTGAGAAGATAATATACAAAATCCAAGTTTGGAAATTTGAATCTCAAGAGCCATTGGAACATCTGTGTATTTCTGAATCCTTCTTCTAATTCACCTCCATTGCTCACGCTATTCTACCTTACTGAAGTCTGATGTACTGCATATATTGAAACATGCTTGAACTTCATCAGATGCAAACTGATCAATGTACCATTTCTATTTGTAATTTACTCTAAGTATATTCATTCCATCTGTCATGCCTGCTGCCTTTAGCCTTGCTCCCTGCTTTATATTGCATGCCCCATGGATCCTCACTGTGCACAGAGACAGAAAGCTGGAAAATATATAAAAAGAAGTTCTAGACTATGAAGAATTATGAGCCCAGAGGATGGCTAAGAGAGGTGAGGGTCAGAAGCATTCTCATTGGAGCCCAGTGTCCCTTTCATGCATGCTCAGAAATGTGTCATTGTCTTCCACCAGTGCCTTAAGAGAAGCCACATTTCACAATGTACAGTAAGGTGTCTGGGGAGTGCAGGATGATCTGGCATATGCTAATTCACTCTCAGTACTCCCTGCCATGATCTGCACTGCTACTGATGCAGGTCCCTGCAAAAAGAAAAGAATTAACAACGGCTCTGTAACTCCCTCTTCCATGTAAACACTCTGATGGAATTTACAAGTAGGAAGATAACCAAAGAAGTTCTCATCTAAGAATGTTTTTAGTGGAATTTTTGCATTGCTTACTATGAACTAATCTGGAATTCATGGATTAGGGGTACAATTTAGAGGACAGAAGTTAGTCAGGTAAGTTCCCTGTGTAACTGATGGAATGTAAAAACGAAGAGGCTCTGAACTTAAATAGCTTCCTAGGACAAGCTGTACAACACATGTACAACACACACAGTGAACACTCATCTCTTTGCCCGAAAACAAAATATATCCCAGTGGAAAAATCTATTGTTTTGGAGGTACAGATGATAGTTCGGACCCTTCCAGAGATAGATGTTGCTATCTTTGTGCTTGCGTTTTGCTTGTATCCTTCACTGATTATTAGTAAAATTTGCTGTTAAGTACAGTGCTCGCTTTGGCAGCACATATGCTAAAATTGGAATAACACAGAGAAGATTAGCATGGCCCCTGCACAAGGATGACCCACTATTAAGTAAAGTGCATTCTTTCTAGGGCTCTGCTTTGACAATTTGACCTCTGTGGGTAGAGTGTAAGAACTTCTCATCAGAATTGTGCCATTCAACCAGCTTTTAGTGTGCTTCTGAAACTGCCATAAATTCTTTTTTTTTTCTGTAGTTGTTAATTCTGTTTTAACGGACCCAATGTGTACCCATCCATTTTTTTTTAAATTCTTATGCTCAGCTTCTCATTATTATCTTATTTTCTCCAAAATTTTCAATTATTTTAGGTCTTCAAATTTTCTGGTTCTTGTCTTTTTCTGCTACATTTGATTCCTTGGGGGGCAATCATTAATTTTGATAAAGTTATTCATAAAATCATTGTTTTCTCCCTAGGTTGTACAGGAGATCACAGTCCTTCTGTTTGGTTCATCATATTCAAAACACTCAATGAGAATCAAAACACTTGATTTCTTAGTTGAACTGCTTGTCCCCTCTCATTTTATAGGAATAGAAAATTCCTCACATATTCTCATCGAGAACAGTGATGCCAAAGTGGTCCATCTGGTGTGTAAAGCTGCAGGGTGGTACCCAGAGCCTGAGGCAAGCTGGAAAGCTTAAAGCCACACTCTAAAGGTGACAGCACAAATGGGAAAAGCTCATTCTCCAATGAATCTTTCATCCTGGTAACTGAACTCAAAAGACTGTGCTCTCTGTTCCATCCTCAACTCCAGGCTCAACCGGAAAAAGGGGACAACTATTTCTGTTTCAGGTTAGTGTCTATAATTATATCTCATTGCCTGGAGAAGTGTTTTTAAAATGGAACGCATATTGTTGAGTTTCTAACAGAAAGGAAAATGATACTGAGTTCCTGTCCTGTACTTGTTAGGCAGCCTTACCAAACGTACTACATCATTCTCCGATCTTTATTATTTTCTTCTTTCTGCTAGCTTTGAGTTTACATTGTTCTTCTTTTTCTAGCTCTTTAAGGTGTACATTTAGGTTGTTAAATTGAAATCTTTCTTTTTTAACATAAGGGTTTACAGCTATAAATTGTTTCTTTAGTATGGCTTTTATTGTATTCTATAAATTTTAGCATGTGTTTTGTTTTCATTTGTCTCAAAATATTTTCTAATATCCCTTGCAATTTCTTTGACCTGTTAGTTGTTTAAAAGTGTGGTGTTTAATTTCCACATACTTGTGAATTTTTTGGTTTCTCTTCTGCTATTTTTATTTTCATTCCATTGTGATTGGAAAGATACTTTGTGTGATTTTAGTCTTTTAAAATTTATTAACGATTGTTTTGTTGTCTAATATATTGCCTATCCTGAAAAATGTTCCATGTGCACTTAAGAAAAATATTTTCTGTTGTTGTTGGGAGGAATGTTCTGTATGTGTCTGTTAGGTATATTTGGTCCTTTGGTGATGTTCAAGTCCTCTATTTCCTTATTTATATCCTGTCTGGTTGTTTCATACATTATTGAAAGTGGGGTATTGAAGTGTCCTACTATTGTTGTAGATCTGTCTATTTCTGTCTCCAATTCTAACAGTGTTTGCTTCATCCAGTTTGGAGACATGTTTGGTATATATATGTGTATAATTGTTATATCTTCTTGGTGAATTGATCCTTTTATCAATATAGAATGTCCTTCTTTGTCTCTTATAATAGTTTCTGACTTAAAGTCTATTTTATCTGATATTAGTATAGCCACCCTGCTCTCTTTTAGTTATTTGCATGGATATCTTTTTCCCATCCTTTTACTTACACACTATGGTGTCCTTAGGTCTAAAGTGAGTCCCGTAGACAGCATATAGTTGGATCATTTTTTAATTCATTTTTGTCAATCTCTACCTTTTGATTGTGGATTTTAATCCATTTACATTTAAAGTAATTGCTGGTAAGATAGGACTTTCTTCTGCCATCTTGTCATTTTCTATGTCTTGTAGTTTTTGTACCTCACTTCATGACTACTTTTCTGTGTATTTAGTTAATTTTTTGTATTTATGTGTTTTTATTCCCTTCTCACTTCCTTTGGTGTATATTTTATAGATACTTTTTTGTGGTTACCATGGGGATTACATAAAACATCTTAAAGTTATAACAATCTATTTTGCCTTGATACCAATTTACTTTCAGTCATATCCAAAAACTCTACTTCTTTATAACTATAAATTAAACTTTATATATTGTGAACCTGTTCATATAAATTTATTATTTTTATGCCTTTTCTTTTAAATACTATAGAAAATAAAAAGTGGAGTTCAACAAGCCAAAAGTACAATACAAGCATACCTCAGAGATCTTGCAGGTTCAGTTCCAGACCACTGCAATAAAGCAAATATTGCAATAAAGCAAGTCAAATGAAGTTTTTGCTCTCCCAGGGCATATAAAAGTTAGTTTTTAAACAATTAAGCAACCAGCCTTCCCTCCTGCCCTCTTTGTCTTTCCTCTTCTCACCTCCCTCTCCTCTATAGCCATCTCTGGTATCACAGCCTGGGGTCAATATGAAAAAGCCAACTTCATACTCAGTTGGATACACATCACATATAATTTATGACCTAACCATCTGTTCCTCATGAACAGTGTCACCATTTTGACCTGTATTCACAATCTCATAACTTTTAAGACATGGCCAAAATAATTTCTCTATGGAATTCACTGAGACCACTTCCTAGAATTCACAGCGTATGGTCCATTTTCTTTCCTAATTATAGTGGCAGACATATAGTAATTTTTCATACTTGTGTGCCAAATTTTTTTCCATCCCTTCCTTCTCTGTGTCTTCTGAAGTTCCATGGTCTTTATTAAAACTGCTTTCATCACAGTTGACCTTAGTTTGAAGATCAGGAATTTGTCTTCTTATTCTTCATCAATCTGTGTAATATGCTTTTTTTTTTTTTAAACTAAAGGAAAATTACAGACATTTTGGTACAATGAGTTTCTACCATGTTGACCCAGGGTAATAAATCATTTGGATTTGTTTGGGACTAGACCAGTTTAGTGGTGAAAGTTATGTGTCCCAGGGAACCCCTTTTCATGATACAGAAACTCCCAGTTTTCTGTAATGGGTGCAGAAGGTTGGAGGAAAACTCTAAAGCCAAAACAGCAGCCCTCAAAAATAGAACTGAAAGAACACTCATTTTAATATCAAATGAATACAGCATAGATTATCTGCCTTCTTTAGTCACTGCCACTTGAGTCGCTGTCACTGTCCTGAGCCCTGACCTTAGTAATCATAATTTACAGTTCATAGTAATAAATCACCCATTGTTGCATCAGTCTGAGTGATACAACTTAAGTGTGCAAATTAATTACATTGTACTCATGAGCATTACCCATCCACCTTTGACTTTCTTGTAGATTAACTACTGTGCATTGTATCGAGATAGTGCTAAAATTTTTTTGTGAAAAAATTCTGGCTTAAAATTTCCCAAATTTGATGAATAGTACAAACTCAACAGATCTAAGAAGCTCAGTGAACCCAAGGCATAAGAATCATAAAACTAGGGGCGCCTGGGTGGCTCAGTTGGTTAAGCGACTGCCTTCGGCTCAGGTCATGATCCTGGAGTCCCTGGATCGAGTCCCGCATCGGGCTCCCTGCTCGGCAGGGAGTCTGCTTCTCCCTCTGACTCTCCTCCCTCTCATGCTCTCTGTCTCTCATTCTCTCTGTCTCAAATAAATAATAAATAAAATCTTTAAAAAAAAAAAAGAATCATAAAACTATACAAAGTCACACCATAATCAAATTGCTTAAACCCAGTGATAAAAGGGAAAATATAAAAAACAGAAAGAAAAAAGATACATTAATAAGAATTACAGCAGACTTGTCAGAGAGACAAATGCAGTAGAAGAGAGTAACTTTTTTTAAAGCATTAAAAAGAATTTTTTTAACTGTCAATCTACAATTTACCCATCAGAAATAAATTTTAGAAGCAAAAGTAAAGTACTTATTCACCTTATTCATCACTTACTACTTTCACCTACAAAAGGTGAAGGAATTCATTACCAACAGAGCTGCACTATAAATGTTCAAGGAAGTCCTGTAATTACAAGGAAGCTATAGCAGGTGGAAATCTGAAAAATGATAAATATAGAGACAAATGTAAGACTTTTATCCTTAATATTTAAGTATCTTCAGAAGATGATTGACTGCTTAAAGTGAAAATAAGATTATGTTTGTGGGTTTTATGACATATGTAGAAGTAAAATGGGTGAGAAGATAGGCACCAAGGCAAGGATGGGTAAATGGAAGAGTATTTTTGTATGGTTTTTAAACTGCCATGAGTATAATATAATAATAATTGTGGTATGTTGGAGATGTGTATTATAAATGTTTAGCTAAGAATCCATCAGGATCTAAAACATAAAGTATAATCAGAGGGAAAAGCTAAAGTTGTGCACTGTTCCTAGAAGTTACCATCGTTCATAGGCTGGAGGATGTGCTGAGGATGGAGTTAGCAGGTGTCAAGCCACAGAGGGCTTTTAAAGGCAAGAGGGTACCATGAAAAAATTTTAAAGCAAGGCTGTGACAAATGACATTTAGGTTTTAGGAAAAGGGTTCCAAAAGCTTCTTGGAAGATGACTTGAAGATGGACATCTGAGGAATCTGACCAGTTAGGAGGCTTTTCCAACAGTCTGGACAAGAGATGGTGACCTGATTTGAGATGCTAGATTCAGGAATCATGAAGGGATTAAATCAACAAGACATGGTATGGATGAGATGGGGTAATGAAAATATGGATCATAGAGCTTGGGCTCTTGGAAGATGGTATTACTACCAACCAAGACAAACAATGTGGAAGAGTAGGCTTGTGGGGCAATGGCCAAGTTCAGGAGAGGACATGTTGAGTTGGTGGCAGCTAAGAGGCATTGCATGGAGGTGGTCAACTGTGCAGATGATTCTGAAGCTCTAAGGAGAAGCTGGGTTGGTGGTAGAAATTGGAAAGTCCTCAGCACAGAGAGAGGTGAAACCACAGATGGATGAGTTCACCAGAGATGGGAGAAGAAATGGAACCCAGGAAGGAGACAGAGAAGGAAGAGTCAAGGAAGTGTGA